GTAATCTGAAATTTGCTCAGTAGTGAAATTGAAATCCTACAAGGGTAGGTCGTGGTTCTTAATCCCGTGAGCTGGGAGTTTTTCACGTAAAACTCTATTGTGTTATTTACTTACAGCTGTGTGAGTGTATTCTGTGGGAACTAATAAAGAACCTGGTTCTCTATATAAGTTTGGTGGACCCTTAGTTTCTATCAATCCAGAATCTATAAACTTTAATTTCTGAATTCTCCTCCGTCCTGATCCATATAATCACACACTATTAATAATCTTATAAATCAGAAGAGTATTAGTCTAAAATAATATTTTTTTATTAAATATGTCACTTAATTAACACATACTCCACTAATTAGAGCGATAATAAGGATGAATATGAAGAAGAAAAAGACCTAAAACATCAAATATTTAGATTTTTTTATTGTGCCTAAATGAGTGATGTTTGAGAGTCAGTGACAGGAAGACGCAATAAATCATAGCCAATTCAAACAATAAAGGCAATTAAATAAGCCATTTAATTTCCTGCTACTATTAAAAATGGATGGCTTGCCTGCACCTGTTTCGCAGAACAGTTAATTTAGCAATTAATCCCTTCATCTCATTTTATGAATTGGAACAAAAGTTAAAGATGCTAACAGTTAAACCAGTGTTTTAAAAGGCGTTTTCGAGACGATCTCTGGGGCGAGACACATCAAAAATATCCTGAGGCGATGGTGTGGGGCGAAAGTCTCAAGAGGCGTACGCCCAACAATTCGGGGCGTATGCCCGAGCATTTGAGAGGCGTTTTGTTTAGTGAGGTGTAAGCCCCAGAGATCTTTTCAAATTAAAATAAAATTTATTGAATAAGTCATTCATATAATACCCAAAATCGCAAAAGTCAGCTTGGTAATTACTCAAAAGTTTTAAAAAGGAACTGAAATGTATTACATTTAAAAGTCAAGACCTTTTCTATTGATTGAAACCCTAATTCATGATCTCTCCAAATTCTTTATCTTGTCCGCTAGTCTGCTAATATCTTTCAAAAGTAACAAATATTTAATTTATTTTACAAATACAAAGAGAACTTTATTCTCCTTCATAGCAACAAGTTCAAAGTTCAAATTGCTGNTAGTTTTTTGTGGGGATGGAGCACATATATATATATAGTTTTCTTCAATTTTTATATAATTTTACCTGTTTATAAACATTTACTATAATTATATTATTTTATAAAATATTAAAAATTAAATACATATGTGGCTTACGCCCCGCGCCTCGGGGCTTACACCTCGCTGAGGCATATATAAAACGCATCACTTTACGCCCACGCCTTTTAAAACAATGAGTTAAACATCTCTATAACAACTATCTTTTAGAATAACATCTTATTATAATGACTAAGGATTTTTGGAACCGATTTTTTATGTTATCTTATATTATATGTTTTTCATAACAACATTTCACTATTGCAGTCAAAAAATCTCGGAATAAACGATATCATTATAGAGAAGTTTGATTGTATATGACTTACATAATATAATATATCAAATTATTAATAATGATGGAAGAAAATATTAAGGTAATAGTTGTAAAGAAAATAAAATTACATTAAATTTAAAGTGTAAATTAATACTTTAATTAAGACAAATCATATAGATGGGTAATTACAAGTAAATTTCTTGATAAACATTAGTAATTGATAATCGAGTAAAATTGTAATAGAAATAAGGATAGGATTCCTACACTCGATCTTAATCAGAGGTGTCGCGTTCAAGCTTTGGGAATGAAATAATCCTAGTAGGGGAAGTGCTTCCCGCTTCATTCCAGGATTTTAATTTGATAGGTTAATTCTATATAGTTTTACCACCGAACCTATTGTACTTTAAAATTATAGGTTAACACCGATCGAATTTTTTGTGATTTTTACATATATATATATATATATATATATATATATATATATATATCTAAACTTCGTATAAGAGTTATTATGTTAAGTTGAACTTGTAGCTTGGTAGCTACATCCGCCATTGTCACATTACATCTTACGCGGTGCGAATCCGAATTAATCGAGCTCCCATACAAACATGTAATTATCGAGCACCGACTGAAAAACGAAAAATAATACTGACACATCACTGTGACTCAGTACGTGCATGTAACAACTAAAACGTGCATTATATATGAGTTTCCTTTGTCAAGTTACCCACACAAAAAAAGTATCATTTTCCCAAAAACTAGTACTATAATTATGAGAAACACTGGATCATTTGATTTAAATCTAAGGTCTCTATTCTCTAGGGGAAAATATTGGCTAACTTGAAAGTTGAAATAACATCAATGCTTATATATGTACCGTCATTTGTTTCACACTGTTAGGTGTGTCTTAATATTTTTATTATATTTGATTTTTTTATTTCTCGAAAGAAGGGCAATATATTACCATAAATTTTTTTTATACAAAAAGGAAAATATGATTCTTTCATATTTGGCTAGTCTTTTTGCAGAAAAAAAATTTAACTTCTATAAATTAAGGATTATTCATTCTCATTCAAAATTGAGTTTTCTTGGGTTTTTCGGATTTTTTGGGTTTTTTTCTAATATACTTATGCTTCAAATATTTCTTTAGTCCTAAAAATATTTTACCAATAACTACTATGTTTTTATTTTTAGCATTGACCTCAACTATGCTAGTCAATAGGTTATATAGTTCCAATTTCAGTTCTAGAAAACTTATGGAAACTTTAATCAATCATCCATTCTCTTCCAAAGATAATCTTTTTAAAGGAACATATAGAGAAGTCATTTATAGAACATTTGCACATCCACAAGATCTGGTACAGATAGCGATCAACAAACTCCTCAAATTTTCTTACTTTCTCATGTTTAATAGTGTCCATTGCAATCGCATCCGGAGACAGTGAAATAGTCACCATTTAGTGGAGAAGGGGCAAAATGGTTTCGATTGTTTTAGTGTTTTAGAACTAGTTTAGGACTAGTCTAGTTCTGCTTTAGGACTAGTTTTTGGTTTGGGCTCAATTATTCTTTTATGGGCCACACAAAAAAAATATTTACATGGGCTATATAACCAACTTAAAATATTATGTTAAATTTTTGTATGACACCTGATTATTTCGATCCTAACAAGTGGTGTATTATTCTGAAAATTTGGAGGCCTGGCATAGTCGTAAACTTCATTCATCTTCAGATCGTTAAAGAGCTGACCCAACTTCTATTTTCATTTATTGAGTAAATACTCTAAAACCCGCTTAAACTATTAACTTTTTGTCAGTTTTCCATCTAAACTATCGCTTGTCCCCCAAAATCTCCTGAACTATATCCTCCTTCGTATTAAAACCCCTCTGCTGCTTATGTGACGTATTATGTGTAATAACCCGTGAAAGAGCACATGAAGGCTAGAAAAAGTCATCAAAATGGCCCACAAGATAGTGTCTAAATGTTAATTAGTCCTTTTTTAAATAAAAAAAATTATATTTATTTTTTAATTTTTTCTCATTTTCTTTATATTTCACCTTCCTTCCTCATTTTTCACCTTTCTTCTCCATTTTTTCACCTTTCTCCTCCATTTCTCCGGCCGAAGTTCTCCCTCTCTTGTTATTGAATTTCTCTTCAAACTTTTGAAAAATATTTGCAGAAGAACAAGATATATGAGAACAATGGAGTTTCATAATACAGGGGAGATAACCTACATAAAAATTCTATTATATATTTAAAAAGTACACTCACTTATTTCCTTCGTGCAACTCTTTCTTCTGTCCGCAAGTGAAAAGGAGTGGATGAAGTTGGTGACTGTAATTTATTTCGGTAGACTGTGAAAGACTTTAAACTGACAGGGAACACCAACGGTAAGAGAGATCAAATGGCAAACAACAGTGGCCCGATTTTATACTAAACAACCCAAATTGAATACTTTGCGGAAAGAAGACAATCACTGTCTTAACGAAAATAACCCAATAACCTAAGTCGAGGGTTATTGGGGAAAAATAATGGTCACAACAAAAACAGAGAAAATTACTAGTGAGAGAAAGAGAAGCCATTAGCGAAAGATAGAAGAGAAAAGGGAATTTTACTGAATGCTTTTTGCGCTAGACCTCTTATATGTTTTAATCGGGTAACTAATATTACCCATTTAATAAATTCGGATTAATATTTAGATTACATAATAATTAAGTTGGTTTTCTGATTAGGCTAATTAAATATCCACGTGGAGTGTCACATGGCACGTTTCTAACAAATATGCGAGAGTATCACACGCATCATTAAAAATGCGACGGGAGGTTTTAATATGAAAGAGAATATAATTCAAGGGGGTTTTGGGGACAGGCGGTAATTTAGGTAGGAAACTAGCAAAAAGGTGATAATTTAGATGCGTTTTAAGGCATTTACTCTCATTTATTTCATTATTCTAATCAATTAATTCAACTGTAACTACATTTTGTTGCATCCAATGCGAGAATAAAGTGTGTGAAACAAAGAGAATTAGATTATTAGGAAAAAATAAATATTAAAAAGGAAAATTGATAACGGCAAAGTTGACAAACTCCTCAGTTTGTCAACAGCGCGAAGAGCTTTAACTTGAAATAATATCGATTTGTTGCCTATTGGATTCCACTACTTGGGACTTTAGCCATTTTGTCCCGTTGTAATCTGTAGCGATTTTAGTACATAACTTCTTCTTTGCCATTCCAGCGAGTATCTACTGCCTCCGACTCTTTGTCAAATAATATAACCTTTGTCAAATACTAACTGTGACGCCCAGCCCAGCTCGTGCACACATCAACTAATTCCAAAGGGTACCTAGTACCTCCGACCAACACAAGTATCTCAAAATTCTATCTACCAAATTTTTGTCTCCGGTGGAATTTGAACGCGAGACCTCATAGTTCTCTAATCTCCACCCACTTTATTAACCACTAGGCTATACTCTTGGATGCACAAGCATCTCCATTCATCTTGATCCAACAACTCACTGCTTCAACTTCTAAGTGGGGCAAAATTTCTCAAAATGAAGCAATCAAATAAGGAATTTCTTTTCGCATACACTGAAACGTCATGTTACAAATACTACACCTTCCTAAGCATGTCACTCTGATTGGTTTTTCATTTTCCCAAGAATACATGGAAATAACCTTCATAATATTTCTGTTCAACATATTCCAAGAAATTGGAAGGGTCCATTATCTTACCTTTCTTTCAGAGACCTGTTGTTAGACTTTCTTAACTCCCAAGATGGTAAGCACCCTTTCAAGGGTGACTGCAGAAATAATGAAGATGTCGATAACTGCCTTTGCCTTGTTGAAATTGAAGAAAGACAACTGAAAGCACTTCTCAACCTTCTTTTCTCACTATCATATTCAGGGCCATTAGGGTCATGTTCCACCGCAGCAACTTTCAGAGCCTCGGGTAGCATGCAGTTGAACGTTGAACCTATATACACAAAAAAGAAAAAAGAATGAAGCATATCATACAAAATCCTTAAGTTCGAAAATGCATGAGAGTACTGAATGCAATATTTTCTTTTCTGAATTTAACTTTTTTCTCTGGTGTAGAAACTATTACACGCTCAAGAAGGCTCCAACTCGCTCGTCCAAGTTATTAACTAATACATAGTGTAAATACTTACATGCAGTTGGATTTTACATGACTAAAGCTCTTTTCTTTTCTACAAGAACATTTTCGGGAGCATAGTCCCGAACTACATTCAGTGGATCACACCGATTACTGATTATCATGCATAAACATCTCAAGTAGTATTATCAAAAGGAGCTATTTTGCTTAAAACTTGGGAAGTAAAAAGAACAATTTCCTCCAAATGCTATGTTCTGTGAGGTAATATCTTATACATTTTGTGCATGACAGAGGCAAAGGAAATTGTTTCGCGCTGCCCTCTACCGAGCACTGTTTAGTATAACCAGACTGATGCCTAAGGGAATCCATATATTCATATTTACTGCAGTTGAGGACTCCAGTATACCAAGATGGGGAAAAAAGAATAGATGAATTCTCATTATGAAGCGCCGGAATTTATGAGTTTAGTTCTCCAAGACCAAGTCAACTGATAAATCCAGAGCCAAATGCTTGTAGGTCCGTTATATTATTGCTAATTAAAGAGAGGTGGAATGACAGAAGATTACCTAATTTTGCAAGTCTGTTCACCCATTTTGGAATCCTTTTCCCAGTCAGCTTGTAGCTTAAATCGTTGCAAAAATGGTTGCAGTTCTTCACAATCAAGTGATACATATCACCATTATAGCTAGCAGCTTGACGTTCAATAAACTCTCTAACTTGACAGGGATCCAACTTTGTAGCCCCAATGAATATTGACTTCCTGAACTTGAACCCTGGGCATTGCCGTGGTTCAACTTCAAAGACACCACTGCTTGGATAGTCATGAGCTCCAAATGCATATTCTACACCATGAACTGTAAAGTATAGGTCAGATTAACTGAACTTACAAAAGTATGAGGCACCAAATACAACTAATTCAGGCAGCAGACCCACTCACAGTTCTCCTTTTTCCATGCAAAGTTTCACATATTTCACATTGAACTATTAAGATGCAACGGTCAACGGTTAACACTTCTTTGGGATTCCCCTATTGAAAATTTTAAATATCCCATGTAATGCTTTCTCAGGGAGAATAAAACCAATATAGGAATCCAAAAATAGATGCATAAAAGACCTTTCTACTATCTTCTATGAATGAACGAATTTGGAAATACAGAAATGGGGGAATGTAATAAAATTCTTATTCGCTCCATAACTTTCCAATCCCCCAAATTCAAGACCATTGTCTACATGTTGGAGCCATGATATTATTTTCCATTTGGAAGTCATCAAAAGCTTCTCCTAGTGGCAAACTATCAATACCAATACAATATATATATATATTTTTTTACAAGTAATCAATACTAACACAATCTTGCATCATGAAACAGAAGAAAGAAACTGACATGACCTTTAAGTTGTTAAGGAAGACAACATGCATTTAGACTTGTTAAGTTGTTTAACAACAATATGATAGTTTCTGACGCATCCATGATTTGTTTCAGAGGAATCTCTCTTGCCAGAAAAAGTATAAAGTCCTTTTGAAGTCCATCTCCCGAACCAATACAACTTTAGGAGAATTTTGACAATTCCTTAGACTCGACTCAAAGAACTTGCAGAAAATGTAACCAGGCTACAACAAGCATTTAGGGGGGGGGAAGTGGGTGATCTATCCTTAGGAAAAAAGTAAAGCAGCAACACCATGAGAAATCAACTCCCTTTTTCAGAAAGCACCCTAAGATGTATTGAGAGGCACCAGAATCCATAATGACTCCTGAGTCGCTACATTTTAAGTTTAAAACCAAAGAATGAAGAGCAAACTTGACTTACGTTCCAATGAATTGAGATTTGAGTTAGATTTCCCACTATAAGCTAGACCACCAATACTTGGTAAATGCATTTATCTCTTCTTGACCGAGTAAAGTGCATTTACAGGATGGATTCTACATGGATATATCCAAGAAATAAGTTCTGATTTCTGAATCTGAACACAAGACTTTAGCTAACGTTTTAGCTATATCACAAGTCAAGATACACAAACAAATCCATTGGGTGATGAAACGTACTGTGGTACATGTGATCAAACAGAATTAGGAAAAGCAATATATAAAGCAAAAACCCCAAATGAACTTGTATCTCCAATAATAGGAGCAACATATCGAAAAACAGAAATGGATATTGCATGGGTGCATTGCCACATAAATAACAATGAATAACTCTAAAGAAAAGAGGGAAAATCTAATAAGGCTGATACCTTCTACACCAGAATGAAAGATACCAAGGCCAGCCCAATATACATAGCCGTTCATAGGAGTCAAGTCATACACATTGAGATAAACAGGTGTGTCACCAGGACCGTATCGATCTGACTTCGCTTTGGGTAGCAAACAAAAATGTGCAGCTGATTTGGTCTTCAAATGGAGAGGCACAATTGATTTCCATCCTTTCTTTGGCTTTGAGGTCATTTTCCTTTCACTACTGAAATTAAGGTTCATTCAAGGCCCACTAGCATCTTGCTCTCTGCATGAACTGAGAAGCATAAGAAGGAACTTTAAGAATTCAAGGGACAGAAGAAAGAAAGAAACAAAAGAAAGAGAAAAATCAGAAGAAATTAAGAAAGAACAGAGAACGAGACGAGGAGACAGCAAAACCACGGAAAGATCAATAATCATGGCTGTTTGATTTCACACAATATTTCAAAAGATTAGGTCAAAGTTGCATCAGCTGAACAGTAATGCACCTATGATTGTATGCTGAATGTGAAAACACTGCACTGGATAAGGTTAGGCATGTAATATCTCTGCAACAAATAGAGCATATCATTTGCTTCCTCATCCAAAGCACTACACATCATTTATCACTAGAACAAGCTGAAACATTACTTTTGTCACCTCAAAAAACTCATACTGGTTGACCTTTGGAGTATGCACTGCTTCCTTCAGATTCACGAGTTAGTTATAGTTCTCATTCAACAACAGTCCATAATCGTTTTATTGAACTAAGTTATATCACGTGCTTTAGCACTGATAGTCAGGAAACAAGATTAAAATAAAGTTTTGGCCTTACACTGACACTCTGCTGCCCTTAAATTTCTTTCCCTCATTTAAACAACTTTGATTACAATGTAGTAGGACTTAGGAAAAAAGGAGATGGGAAGAACTAAGAAACATAATCGTCAAGAAAAACCAATGGAGCACGTTTTATTGACTGCCCTATACCTGAATCTGGTTTATGAGAGATTTAATGATGAATTCTATAAGAAGGTAGGACGAAAGAGATGCTGTAGCTAAATTATAAACTGCTCGTTCGATATCATTTTACTCTCATCCATCCAAAAAGCAACTTTGATGACCATGAGATCAAATCAGCCGCATATAAGCCTTGTCTCCCAGACAACGTTCTCTATCCAACTTCATACTAGATCATGAACCACATCACATGCAAGGTAGCACATAGCACTTATTGTTCAGCTGCACCTTTGACTTGCTGAGAAGAGTATCATGCAAATGGGAAACTCTATTTCCTTTTTGCAGTAAAATACAACAATGGTTCTTTAGATAACAGCCTATTTCACTTATCAAGTTAGCTGGTCTATGATACCACACTTGACCCTTTGAGTATATGAAGTGATCTACTTGTGCAGCTTTCCTGGTGAAATAGCGCCTATTTTTAACTTCTTAACCTTGAATTGTTCAATAATAGATTAAGTACTCAACAGGGAGAGGTAAGTGTCAATAGCCAATGGCAAAGAAATTACCTAGAAAGAATATTAAGAACGAATCTTTCAGAAGGGAGAAAGAGGATGAAAGGGAGAAAAAGAATAGCAATAGGATACATGTCTCTTTCAACTTCAAAGAAAAGTCCACTATATGGATGAGTGGGGAACCACTAATGTGTACTATCATCTGTAGTGTTCATCCAATAATGGCTATTTCTTTAATCTACTTTTAGTTCAAATAAAAAAGTCAAACTTCAATTTCAAGGGAGAAATACGATATCTATTCATCAGCCAATCCAATTGATAAATTTGCTCATTTAGAAACGGATATGCACAATCTAATTGTCTGGTAGTTACAATCATGAAGAGATATGCATAAGAAACCACTTTTTCTTTGTTTACTATAACTGCTAACACTTGAAGATATAAAATTTTCAGATAAACTATTACTAACTTGAAACATAAAGACAAATTCAACACAATTGAAAAAAGGAAACTGAGTTGGCTCTTACTCAGCTTTAGTGATCAGGTTTGTGATGTTCCTAATTATCATTTCTAATAAATTTACATGCTTAGGATGAGCTTTTACTAGAAACCTTCCGCTCACAAAATGACGAAGCTAAGATGTAGCAAGCCAAACTGAACTGTCAAGAGAAGATGACAAATGGAATATGAGGAAGCAAACAAATGACCATTCGAAAGGGACTTCAAAAAGCTGAATTGACCAGAATGTATTGAAGAGAAAATAGTAGTATGTAACAACATCCTTACCTACTTATTTTAGAAGAAGAAAAAAAACATCAAAGTATGGAGGGTTCAAAGTCCAAGTCAAAAGCAAGGAAAGTAAACAGATTGAATCATTTGGCAATCATTATGCAATTGTCAACATCCATTAAAAACAATAATTATATTTTGCTCCAGATGTGCCAGGCAGAATTTTGTTCAACTACTAATTCAACCTAAAAACTGATACCCTCTTAGGCAGTTAATCACCGCATAGAAGCTAATTACATTTCCTAAAACAAAAAATTCATTTTCCCCAAAATTTTCATCCAAACCCCACCACCAAAATTTTCTATTTGGACACACAGTTTGCATATTTATGGAAACCAAATGAAAAAAGAAAGAAAAGGAAAATGGAGCAATTAGGTAAAGAATAGTACAATCAGACTTGTAAAAATACCAATTCTACATCAGATCTTGCTGCTAGATTGAAACATTTACAGTTAATAAGACTTTACAAGCACTTCTGGAACAATCACAAACTTTAGTCAAGAATTAGGTGCAAAATATCCAAACTTTAAAGAACAAAAGTAAAAAATAAATAATAAAAAAAAAAAAACTAAAGCTTTAAAAGAAACATCAAGAAAATTATGCAGAACAAGAAGAAGAAAGACTTACATTAGAAGAGTATTGCAAAGGCAGCAGCTTTTACAACAATTCTGTAGTAAAGACAGGAGAAAGACAGATCACAGTGAAATGGGGCTAATTGTGTCCCTGCCCCAGAGTTATTAGGCACATACTTGTGTTGTGACAAAAACCCAGTAAATTACACTGCTAAAGGTATGAATACCAACCTACACAATGCTGTTGTAGAATTTGCTTACTATACTAAGAAGTAAAAAATTACTTTTAAAAAAAAAGGAAAGGGAAGAAGAAATTAGAAGAATTTGAAGAGACCCCAGATTTCAGAAGCTAAGCAGAAACTGACAGAAGCCAGGACACACGCGCACACACTCTGTCTCTCCCTCCTAATCTCCCTCCCAATTTTTCCCCTTTTTTTTTTCCTAAAATATAATGAGTTTGAAGGATAATATTTTTTGGGGGGTTTCCCATCTGGTACCTGCTAGACTATTTCGCATCAAACAATTATATATAGTCTGACATCTCTAATACTATTTCAATATAAAAGTCATTTAATATAAAAATTAAATTTTTCTCAAAATCAATTATTATATTATATTATAATATATGTTCTCTATAACAATACTTTACTATAGCAATCAAAATTTATCAAAATAAATGAGGTTGTTATAGAAATGTTTGATTGTATAAAAATAATTTCACTCGAACTCCAAACATATAATTAAGGGTGAAGGATCTATTTCATCATAATCATTAGTGATAGAAAAATAATATTATTGAAGATTTAAATCATATAATTTAAATCATTTGTTATTTTTTTTGTGATAATGAGTTTGGAATTGGTTTAAATTTTATTTATTTTTTTAATCATATACACACTGTAAAATTTAGTGGGTCTATTTATTGTGTATTATATGCAGCTGATCATCATGTATGTACATGTATATTCGAATATATTTTGTTATTGTCTGGTTAGTATAGAGTTCGATTGACTAACTTAAAAGTGCACAATGTGTAGGCATTTGATTAAAGCAAAGTTGAATTCGACAATATAAAGTCTCCAAGGAACTTCAACTTCTATCAGTAATACTTGCAAAGTCTCCATATCTTTGGTGCAACAAATTCATTGAAGTTGGGATGTTGTGAATACTTTTGTAATTTAGACAAGCTACCTAATTTAGATTCTTCAATTTACTATTCTTTGTTTACTAACCGTTGTATTAATTTAATTTTTCTTTATCTTATTTTTCTCTAATTAAGAAAGCAGGTAAATGCCAATTATTTTAAAAATAATAAATAAACAAGAAAAATAAATAACTTAATTATAATAATTTGGGAGATTCTAGGTCACCTGACGGATTGAGGGGTAATTTTTAAAAGTTTACTGATTGTAGGGGTAAATTTGGCCTGATAGTATAACGGTATGGGTAAATTTGGCCCGATAGTATAATGAATGTGATGGTAGGCTAGAAACTCGCGTTTAGCCGTAGTATTGCACTCAAATTACTGTATTTTACTTGTGTTTGAGCTTGAATATTAGTGTATTGCACTTATTATGTATTTTATGCCTCGTAGAAATTGATTTAGAGAAAATGATATTCGGAAGCTAAATCGAACATGTAACACCCCAAAGTTTTAACTAATATTTGCATTCTCGATTGAGCATCTTTATAATGAGGATAGATTTTACTTTGCACTTCCTAAATGTAAATTGACAATAATATTAAAAAAAAAAACTACCTTAGGTTGTGTTAATATTGACAAAGAAATTTCATGGTGTGGCTATGTGTAAAACTTAATATCATTTTGATGAATTGTTATTAAATATATTATATATTTAAGGTTTTGGGCTGCCACCCTTTTGTATTTATCTAAAGATATTTAGTAGTTTGGGAATCCAATTTTATTTCATACTTATCCAATTCATAAATATTACTTATTTGACTTGCTTTTCCATAACCTCTCTCATATTTCATTCTTTCATTCCAAAGAAAACCCTTACTCTCTCTCTTTCTTATCACCTGAAATACATCATGATAACCATCAAAAAGTTAAACTAAATCAACCATCCAAACTAGTTCTTGGTGAAGCTCAAATTGCTCATCTCTTTTGTGGTAAGTTACTAAACTTGTTTTTACACTAGACAACTATTAGTATTTTCTTCATATCTTTTTGTATAGGGATCTGTTTTAAATGATCCAAGCTTTTCTGAAAACCTTTTTTTATAGATCTATAACTCTTATTCAGGCACTAAAACTTGGTTTATCTTTTATTTACCCAAAAATGGGTGATGAAGTACAGGGCAGGTGCTGCCCAGATTTTCTATTTTATAAACCCTCCATGTACTACTGTTAGTAATTTTAGCATAACTTTTTGTACAAAACTGATATGGAGGTGATTCAAGATGTTCTAAAATGGTAAGACATATATCTATAACTTCAACGAAGATCACAGAGTCTAGTTTATCCATTTTTATATTCACAACTGAGTCACAACGCAAGACAGTGATACTGTCCAGTATTTCTGTTTAAATTATTTTGGGTAATTTGCACCAATATCATGTTTAGTTTGACATGTTAAATCACTGAACTTATATAGATATTTGATTATGTATTTAAGGTATATATACCCTTATAAAATCTAAGAAAAAGTGTTTGAGGAAGTGGACGTATTTGGTTTGTTTATGGCATAGACAATTCGAATGTCCTCAAGTTGTGGTTGAACTGTTTTGTGGTAAAACACCAAAGTTTGTGTATAAACTTTGTACTCTTTCTACTTGCTGGAATATTTTGAAATAACCTGATATTTTATTTTTCTTGTCTTCAATTTATATCGTTGTATTTTTGTTATATCAAGTATTGTAAGATATTCACTAAATCTCCCACTCGTACGGATTTGCTTGATCATTTTGCATTCTTGTTGGGACTTTGTCCTTCTTGTGGAAGTGGTTTTGTCACTCATGTTTACCCAAAAAATGGATAGAGTTGAATTTGTATGTAGTTCTAAGGGTATGTGGTATAACTTGATACAAATCGTAAGAGTAAATAGAAATATCGAATATTTACTATAAAGGATGAAAAATAAGCAAAGTTGAAAAGAGGGTGATTTATGGATTAAGCAAGATGAATCAATCTATGAAGCTAAAAAGGATAATTCTTCAATATGGGAGTGTATGATATCTGAATTACAATGTATGCAAAACTTGATCCCTTTTATAGAAATATAGCTATCCCTTTTATAGTGGGGGATCCTACTTTAAATATAATTAAAAATACATAGTGGGGAACCTATGATAAATAAGCTTTTTCTTAATTCCCACCGAGATTCTCTCCCTTAGTGCGGTTGTAACAGCTCTTGTCTATGAGCTCGATCTTGACCGGATTCGGTATCTGTCGGTTTTCAGGTTTAGAACTCGATGTGGGTTTGAGCTCGATGTTGACTCGGGGCCCAGTATTGGGCCGGTATTGGTTGGCCTCTGGCCCTTAAGCTCGATTCCATTACATCTCCCCATAGTTTGATTTGGATCCGAGCTGGATAATGACTTCGAGCTCGGTATTTGACCTGTCCCTGAAACTCGAAGCTCGTTTGTACCTTCTTTGGATCCCATCTCAATATTATGAATACTTTCTTCGGTCCATTATGTTCCCATCTCGATCAGTCGTACGAAGGCCGAAATTAGTTTCGACCGTATATAGATAGACCCCTCATTTCTCGTGAAGGATATGGCAAGAAACGATATGATTTCCCAATGGCTCGATTGGATGTACACTGACGTTTGCATCGAGCCCGACCATGACGTATGTGATAGTTGTCCCGTCGATTTAGTTTACCAAGACATTTAATACGTGTCAGATGATGGTCGGCCACTGTTGATACTGAACCGACATTGCTCAATCTATAAATAGCCCCTTTATTTACCATTTATCACTTTTACATCTCCAATCTCCAAATTCTCTAAAGTTCTTTCTTGCATCTTCTAAGTTTCTGTGATTTTTCTGCAAATATCTGTGATGACCCAAAAGATCATCTTATATTTTAGAACTCGAATCTACGCTCTTAAACCTTAAAAATCTCATTTTTACCCTCCTTGATTTACGTGCGTAGTCTGGACATGTTTCCGTAAAGCTTTTATGTTGTAAACTAATGAAAATAAGAATGTTTTCCTTAAAAGTTGATTTTAGTTGATTTCGGTTAATATTTTTGGTAAACAAGCCCGGATCCGTGTTTTGCCAGTCCCGGTGGGTCCGTGTCGAATTATGGGACCTGGACGTATGCCCGGAATTGAATTCGGAGGTTCCTATATCAATTTATGAATTTTTGATGAAAATAAAAAGTCTGAAAATTTAATTATTTTTAATAATTGATTGGTGTTTGGCATTGTTAGTGCCGGGTCCGTATTCTGATTCCGGAGCCCGGTACAGGTTCATTATGATATGTAAGGCTTGTCTGTGAAATTAGGTGAGAAACGGAGTTGATTTGACGTGATTCGGGCGTCAAGTTGAGAAAATAGAAGTTTTAAAGTGTTCTTGAGAATCTCATTTGAATTGGTGCTAAATTCGTAGTTCTAGGTGTTATTTTGGCGATTTGATCACGCGAGCAAGTCCGTATGATGATTTTAGACTTGTGTGCATGTTTGTTTTGGAGCCTCGAGGGCTCGGGTGCCATTCGGGCGATGCGCGAGTTGAGTTCAAACCTCAACAAGGCTGCTGGTGCACCTAATCTGGTGTGCCCGCACCTGCGAGCCTTTGGTCGCAGGTGCTAGCTCGCAGGTGCGACCCAGGCCTGGACTTCATTTTTCCGCAGATGCGGACTTCTCTCCCCAGGAGCGGGACCGCAGGAGCGGAACACTGTCCGCAGGTGCGGCCCCAGTTGGCCCAGTCCTTTTCCGTATAAGCGCAGGTGCGACCAAAGCACCGCAAGTGCGAAGGTCACTGGGCAGTGAGTTCATTTAATT